AATTGTGGAAGAAACTTGTCCTATCGTATTGTGGGTTCTGGCTTCTTATTTCCTTTTATATTGTAGAATAAACTCGCACTAAGTTTAACCTTAAGCAGCCCAAGTCATGCAAGAAAAATTATGAACATGTAGGGCATATCTTGGAGTAACGAAATAATACGCTTCCGTCGAGAGTTTTTTTAAAAAGGGAGAAAGCTTGAAATTCAAGAAAAAATTGCTCGCTACTTGTGAATTGAGCTGCGCGATCGATACCCACCAATCCAACCGTAGCAGACTAAAGTTGCGCGCCGAGTGCGAATCTTGATTTCATTTTACTGCTGTAACGCATTAAAGACGCCTTTTTCAGAAATGAAGCAAAACATTAAAGTTGTCGAATTCAAGTTATTGAATGATCACTAAAATTATCTGTAAAATGAAGAAAACGCATTGTTGCTCAAGTTTAAGAATGATTACCGATGATCGATTATTCTTAAATCCACATAAGAGCATTTAATGAATTACAGGCGTTATAATGATATTGGCAACAATAAATACGATTATGACCCGATGTCAAGTACCGACAATTTAACGGATTCGGTCACTGTGATTGAATGTACTGTGAGAGTGAATAAATAGGAGTACTGTGCAAAAACGTTTGCGTCAGCCGGGATTTGAACCCAGATCTCACTCTTTCCGGGAGCGTATGCTAACCATTGCACTACCGACGCTCGTTTTGCACAGCACTCTTATTTGACACACCGGCTGACGCAAACGTTTTTGCACAGTACTCCACTTATTGGGTATAGTATAACATCATACCACTGCAAGTGGCAGTCAGAATAGAAAGAATTTAGACTGAATAAAGAGGTTAGCGATGATTGGCATGAAGGCGGCGGTTAAACGACTTTCTGTGTAGTACACTCGGGAGCCAGAGCACGAAATGCACCTGGTCTGCTTAAAGAAGATTTACACCGTTGGATGGTCATATGCGATGCGGAGGGCCTGGGTCAAGTATATTATAATAAGTAGCTCAACACCATGAGGTAGGCGGTTAAATAAGGCACTGTATACTTTGCTCCAGTGGCGGACCAGGGTAGACCATTGTAGGTATGCTCCGTCGCCGTGGTGGATGCTCCTGCTTTTCAACAACTTAGGCCACTTATGAAAGGCAACCTGAAATCCTGACATCGGTAGAAGATTGCATAGCCTAACGCACTACGAATGATTACAGCAAATTAGTGGATGAATCTTCTCTGAGTGGTGAATGCTTGAATAGTGGAGCCACTAAGTGGTATGATAGGAAGGGCAGCTACCCGATCGTCCGAAATGAGCCAAGAGAGTAGTGCTTTGTGGTTCATATTGTTGGTTTGACAGTCGTAAGCCGGAAGTGTGAAAATAGCAGCGCAATCAACTAAGAATTACTATACTCGTCCTCACATTTCATACTGCGGATCCAAGCACTTCTCGTATCCGATTAGTTTCATCGCATTCATCCTCCACAACGCAAAGGTTTCCAAATATTTCACATGTTGCTACGGTTGCAGTATAATACACTAAATTTCCATTTTAGTTCACATTACCAGTCACCACATGCATAGTGTGAATACCTAAACTTGTTGCACTAGATCCCTTTCCCTAGAGTTATCGCGCCAAAGGTCTCCCGAAGATTTCACTGCTGTTTCGGCTGCTGGTTCAGGCTTTTGTCATCTTCATGAATGTTGTCTAATGCTGGTCAAAACGACTCCAACTGCATACTTGGAGATAACGGAGCTAAGACGCTCTGCAATGATTGCAGGAAAGCTCTGAAGGAGAGTGTTCAAATTGGAAACTCACGGCCTGTCAGACTGTATTTGGAGATCCTCTATTCTCCCCAAATATACTACTAGGTTGGAAAGAAAGCTTCCATCGTTTGTTAAAACATTTAAAATTTATGCATATATTCAGACAACAAACAGCAACAATTATTCTTCAATATACAGGCCATCATTATCCATCAGTTTTTGAACATCGGTCCGCCAGGTTTCGGATCTGATCGACGTAACACTCCTTCGGCTTTGAATCAAAGAACTCATGACATGCTTCTTCACCTTCATCGAAAGATTCAAATCGGTCACTTTCCCTAAAGTGTTACATTGATCGAAAAAGGCCTTAATCAGATGGAGCAACGACCGGACTAAAGGTGGATGCGGTAGAATCTCAACTTCGCCCAATTTCTCAAACTTCGCTTTGGTCTTTTTGGCGGTGTGTGGTTCTGCGTTGTCTCCGGCGAGCAGCATTAGCAGCATTTGAAGCATATTTGTACTAGTAAAGCATCAACAAACGTCTTTGTTCCTTGGACATTTCCATTCTGAAGCGCATAAAGACAAATAATATATCAATAGATGCGCAAGAAGTAGACCTTCCAGATGATATGTAAAACACACACGATTCATGCGAAAAAACGGCATTCTCATTCGAACTATGGAGATTCTTTTTCCAACCTAATGTGATTCAGTATAAAATGCAGCAAGCACAAGATACAATCAAACATCTGCAAAACACCTCGGTTGCATGAGTTGAAAAATTATCAATGTTAGACGGTGACAAGAAGACACAAACCATGAGAACCGCATGTAGTGGATAAGGTATTTGATTTCAAAACCTTTCAGCCGACCGTCTTGAGACCTCGCTCAAGAACAATGTGATTTGAAAATGTATTCTGAGTCTTTCATGAGGTCTGTTATGGGCATTTATACAGCTCAAGACACGCGTTTCGGCTTCATAGCGTCTTCAGTTGGACGGTACCTTTCTTCTGAGTCAATCCTTTGGAGGGAGATAAACCAGTGCATATTAAGGAATCGACGCTGAATGCCGAAGTATGTGTCTAGCATAGTATGAGTGTTCATGAAAAACTCAAAATACGTTGACAGATTACAATATTCCTGAGCGAGGTCACATAACAGTCTGATGAAAGATAATGTTAATATGCCTTGTAACAGCAATTCGCTATATCAACAATCATTCGCCATGAAAAAACGTCGCGGTGATTGTTTCACTGCACTCTGAGTGGCACATGTTCGTCGCGTGCTCCTCTATGTAAGGCGGTATATCCCGAGGAACTGATTGAATGAAAAGGCACCGTGCAAATGATTGAGATAAAGCAAGACAGGTGTCTTGCATTGTATAAGTGCCCATGATAGACCTCATAAAAGGATCAAAATACGTTGTAAGATTATGCTTGATTTCAGTTATAGTGACTGAATTCATGTCCCATAAATTGTGCAATTCTTTTGTTTCCATTCATAGTGAGGAGGCTGTTGTAATATTGGGTTACATTTGTGTTGCTCTGCGATTATTGCTTATGATCACGATGGAACTGAAGCGATCTCAACAAAAGTTTTATTATAACTCCTGTTATTTGCAGAGACAATAAAAAATCAAATTCGAAACTGCTGTCGATATTATTGTTGCTTCTTTCCAGGTCCTCAGCGAAAGAGGTCTTTTCCTATAAATCCACTTAGGATGTAAACTTTCTTAGCAACAGAAATAAAGTCCCCGTTCGAACTTCGTGCAACCTCTGCAGCGGTGTTAGTAAGATTCTCAGGTTAAGATGAGACTTTCTCAATAATCAACATGACAGAGAACTTATCTTTCCAAAACTATATTTTTATTTGAAGTGATGGAAAGTAAAAACTCTTTTTCGAAGCTTCTTCCGTTCACGTCACTTTTACGCTTGTCAGAAGAACTCGTAAAAAATCCTCCCATCAAACCGTCACCAACAACATAACACATCAGTGCTTCTTGTTACCCATGCTCAATTTAACCATTGCATCCACTGCGCCTCCAAAAAGCATCTACTGTTGTCTATAAGTGCGACTAATGTATAGATCTATTTATAAACCTTTGTGGACCATGAAGGGCTTTTCGATCCTTCAATATACAGAGATCTTTTTTACTAGGCGGAGAAATTTCAGTAGTCATCCGACAACTTGAATCTTGCTAATTTCAAAACTGCCTTTGATTTACAGGCTCCCTCAGTACGCTCTAGCAGAAAAAAAATATGTTTAATAGTCAGTTGATTTAGTTACTCGGTTAATGTCTGCTGGTCTCCTTTTATTAGCCCTCTGACCTTCCAGGGCCCGAGTCTATGTGTCTAGCTGGCAATCGTGGACTGCTTGTCTCACCACCTCCTCCAATCCACTCCCAGCTTAAGAACGGCTTCACCTCCTCCTCTGCGACTGTAACCCCAACGTGGGAATTACTGTCTGTCTCACTTCTCTACGTCATTCGGCACACCTTCCATCGGAAAGAAGGTTGCTGGTTCGATTCCCTACTACGTGTCTTTGTAGATCTTTTGGTGCTAACTTTCTAGTGTCGAATAGTATTGAAGGTACTTCTATCACCTGTATCACCTGTCGTCCCGTTGATCGTCGAGTGACTCGAGCGGGTACCAGCAACTCTTCCATTTTTCCCTATCGCGTGCAAGAGTAGCCCAGTGGGTCCTCCTTGCTCTAGGAATTCGCTGAGCATCATATCTTTCTTCCATCGCTTTCGTGAAGAAATCGGACCAACGGGTCAGTGGTCTTCCTTTAGAGCGCTTGACGTCCCGAGGAATCCAGTCGGTAACGGCTCTCGTCCATCGGTTGTCGTTGAAGCGCATCACGTGTCCGGCCCACCTTATTTTCGATATCCTGGCGTGTAGAACGGCGTCTCTGATTTTCGACCGTTGACGTAGGTCGGAAGTTCGGATCCTTTGTCTCATTTGCGAAATACGAGACACTCCTAGCATCGACCTTTCGACTGCGCGTTCGATAACGGCAAGTGATCTTTCATCCTGCTTACGTAGCGAACAGGTTTCTGCTGCATACGTTAGGGCAGATAATGATTATCGAGTCGAAAAGGTGGGCACGGAGTCGGATGTTCTTTGTCCTCTTCACTACATCTTCGATGCCAAAAAAAATGCCAAAAACAGTAACAGTAACAGTAACTTCTATAACGCAGTTATTATATGCCTAAGAAAATTTTGTGGTGAACGAAAATACTACCTCATACGGGAGTTGAACCCGCGTTTCATTCATACGTGGGAGGCGTGCCACCACTGCACCACCGAGGTATATTTACACCGCCACTCATTCTTCAATATCTCTATGACAGCTGTCAGCAACCAACTTGCTAATGTACATCGGTTGTGTAGTGGCAGCACGCGCCGCACGTATGGATGAAATGCGGACTCCTTTTTGAGGTCGTATTTTTGCCCACCACTCAGTTCTCTAAGGTATATATGAAACACCATAACACTGCCAAAGATGCAATAAAAACACAAGAATTTTCGCAATTATTATAGCAAAAAACGCTTGATTGTCTAACATTTCACTACCTTCTAAACATAACGTAAATCCATGGAATAAGAACGTACATCCAACTTTTCCTGATGTGGAAATGAGGCCATCGGAAGCAGATGGTGCACCAGTCTCTCACGTAGTGTTGAACGGTCTCACTCTTGTACATAGCTTCGTTGAAGTTATTTGGAGAGGTATCATTTAGAGAGCTGTCTTGAGGGCATACTGAACTGGAAAGAATCAAGTGGCTCGCATAGATTTGAATTCTCATTCTAAATCAAATTACACAAAAAACTAGCACATTGTCATCTAGGCGAAAAAACTTGGATATGAGTTGTTATTGATGGATTCACAATTTATATCAAAAAGTAGTGGAATGTTAGACATCTGAGTATCTTTTGCTATAAAAATTACGTTATAGAAGATCTTTCAATACCAATCGACACCAAGAAGATAACACCATAAACAACCACAGTGATGTGTTATGGTAAGAAATCAAACCAGCAACCTTCTTTCCGATGGACTGCAGAAAGAATTGAGAAAGACAGTGACACTGGGAGTTACAGTTGCAGAAGAGGAGGTGGAGCCGTCGGTGGCGAGAGTGGCAGAGGAGTTCGAGCAGACAGTTGACCCTTGTCAGTAAGACACACAGATTTGGGCCTGTGGAGCCAAAGGGTTAAGCTATATAATCGCTACGTGATAAGCTGAACGATTCCGCAGCTAAAATTGCTCCTTGAAAAGGGTCTCTATAGTGTGCTGTATGATTGAGGATAAAATTCTTAAACTGATATTCTTAAATTGATTGAGGAAAAATATTTTTAGCAGATAAGAATCTTATCAGCGTAAAAAGTATATGAGCGGGAAGAAAAAATAATTCGTGTGACAGATGAAGATTCGATTTCTTTCACTGGACAAGAACTTTTCATAAGAGTGTTAGTAATCATTTGAAAGCATAAATATCTAGCTACAACACTACCAGGCTGATTTTTGAAGAAAAAAAGTCTGCCATTTGACCATTAGATAGCGCAAGTCTCATCGATATGTTAAGTTTTCAGAAAAACTTCTTAGTGCTCTGTTAGAACTAGAAGAATCTTGAGTTTCGCACTGGGCGCCGTGTCGGTCGCGTTCACATGTAGTGTGCGAAAAGCGCCGAGAGCGAAACACAATATTCTCCTAGATGTAACAACGCGCACAAAGTTTTTCTGTGAAATCAAATATATTATACTGAAAGTCTAAGAGAAAATCTATGCCCGGGTAAAAGCACCCAGTGTGCAACACAATTCTATTCCCACTCTACAGCGTTCCAAAATTTCAAAAAGCGAGCACGCCATTGAAATTCTCGAGAGTTAAGCTATTAACAGGTTATTGAAAAGCGATGGCCTGATTGATGCCAATGTTGGGAAATTGATCCGCATGCCTGTGGAAGATTTGTAAGACGCATCTGGATTGCAATATTGATTTCAGTGTTGCAGTGCAACAAAAAGTTTCTGGATAATCAAAAACACTACTATATTTGCTGAAATTTGTGCTATCGAACAGTTGCCGAATTCTTTGAGGAAGATCTTTGCTTAGCGAGAAATGTTTGTGTGCTAAATAAAATTTAATCTTCACTGTTGCCTGGTAGTATAGAGACCATTCAAAGAATAAAATACAAAAAATCTTCGCGATTTAAGGTGTCGAATCACTGTCAAACTGTCTAAAAAGACCAAGAAAATAGGTCTTTCAATATGGGTGCGGATAGGGGAAAAGTGCTTGTTTCTCAAAAAAGATATTGCATAATGCGAATTTCTATACAATACGAGTAAATACTGACCGGTACCGGCACACAGGGAGAAGTGCTTATGATCGATGCTCATTGTAAAATTATTAATTGCTGAGTGAATATTCTAAACAAAAGACTGGCATCGGTGTAAGGTTTGAAAACTTTGGGTCAGGCGTATTCAGTTTCTCTAAAAATGTGCCCTACAAAGTGATAATTAGGGGTTCTGTCGATGATTATTCCGGTTGCGTCTTAAAAGTCACATCGCACGATCTTTTAGAAAAAGTCATACATTGAAGGAAATGTTTTCCAAATTATACTTATATATACCTTCAAAGAAATAAGAAGCAAGAGATCGAGATGCATTGTTTTGTCATTGACGTGGCCTTCGTGTTGAAAAGTGGGGTGTTCAGACCTCGTGGGCGTCCTTTTTACTATAGAAAGGTTTTTATAGAAAGCCGTCAGTAACCTCTTATTCTTTATCGTAAATTGTCTCCAGAAGACAATTTCACTATAAAGGTATCAATACATCTAATGTCAAAATTCAAGCGACGTGCTAATTGCTCAGAGCTTGAGAAGTGATCTTAATTCCCTTGCGAGAGCGCACCTAGACTTAATTCAAAAGACTGAAATAGTCTTCAAAATTTCCATTTTTGAGCTATCGAATGTTCATCAAAATCTAGTGCAAAGTCAACCATACGCGATCTCGAATCACTCAAAGCACTGTGTAGGCGAAACGTAATTTCAGCTCGTCCTTACTATAACGCAGTAGACTACTTCGATAAGAATTAATTTTGAAAATCAATTTTATATTCAGAATTACTATTACCCAGGCTATCGAATAACTACCAAAACTTCAGTAAAAGTTCGTTTGTGAGAAAGCTAAGCAAATACGAGTGCAAATTACACTATACAATCCGAAACGTCATATTCTCTTCGTTACTACAGCTCACTAGAAAAGCATTTCCAAGAATCAAGCATGCCATCAAAATCGCAATTTTCAGCTATCGAATAACTACTGAAACTCCAGTGGAACATCTGTACTAGACGAAAAAACTGCGAGAATGAGCGTGTACCATGAGTGGACACGTGGTACTGCGAGGGTTAATCGCCACAAGATACCATCACAGGTGCACACTTTTATAGTTCAGACAGAGCGTTATCCAGAGCGCCGCCACGTAGTTGCTCCTCGTGATAGGAGACAAACTTCATCCTATCAGTTCTTATATGCTCCTCCCCATCACTCCCGCAACCGGGCCTCACAAATGATGTTCTTCGTCAATCAGTGATTAATCCTGAGAGTTTGTCACTACGTTATTGAGAGGCTTTACACTACTGCTGTGTATTTGTATTTGTGTGGTATTATCTTTTGTAACGCTTGTATATCATAGGTTGTTTGCTTCATCCACAATAAATTTCATCGTCATCAACCGTGTTCGTTCACACATAAAATCCGCGTGGCGTAAAGCAGTTAGTTTATTGATCAACAATCAAAACGCAAACCGTCGCACCCAAAAGTGCACTCACAGCATGGAGAGTGCACAGAGGCCATAGATTGTTCAGAATTCACGACTTCGTTAACAACTAATCTGGGGACACTCTCCACAGAACATCACCTCGTGGAGCTTCCTGTGGATGTCCCAATCTTGACTGATCTTCCAAACCGTTCTGTCCAGCTCTGAACTTCGCAGGCCACTTTCTAGTCATTCTTCCTGCAACCGTATCACCGAACGAAGCTCCATTTATCTTGTCCACCACTTCACTGATATTTTTCCCTACGCTCCAATCTTGCATAAGTAGCATCTGAATTTGTCCTCACGACAGCTCCATCCTGAAGCAGCCATAGGTTAGTTGTATGCCAAAATGTTCGCCAGAATATGCACAGTTAAATGATGTAAAAATTATGAAATTTTATCCATTATGATAAATTTGGTGCTTATTAGACGTAATATATCACGGTTACTATCCTGCCACGTAATAAGTCCAGTATCGATTTGTGAACAGACAAAGCGCTAGTTTTCCTGATATGCGAGGTCGTGCCATCGGCCACGTATACATCATGGGCATTTCTAACTACTGAACTTCATGTGCTCTGTATTCGCACAATGACGAGTTGGACGAAAATGGAAGTAATCAATCTATCTTCATATCGCTAGTTGGCTGACGACAGAACGTCATTGAACAAATTTGCTTTACTCGAGCTTTTTGTGCGCACCACAGTGCCGTTCACTGTTTGGTATTGTTATGATTCATTTCGTAATTTTATCCATTCTCTTTAAAACTCATAATTTTTTCTGCGAATCTCAATTCTTCTAGAATTCCATTCGTTTTTTCGTCTTCTTAACGCTCTAGAATACTGCCTGAGCACTTCTCCTTGCAACCTCAAGGTTAGGCTGGCTGTGGAGATCTATGGGGTGTTCGTTGCTGTATGCAGGAGAGTGTTGGAGATGGGGTTCAGCCTCGCACAGTGGCGCGACGAGCATCACAACCACTCCACCACGACTCTCTCACGGATCCACTTTACTAACATAACATAAATCATACCACGTAGACTGTATCATACAGAAATTTTTAATTAGAAACCAGACTTATGCGAAATATGATATTTTTTGGAAACCTTCTAAGTGAAATATTTGTTGACTTGTATAAATACAATCATTTTACTCGTATACGATTATTAGAACTCTTGGATTTTTTTGATAAAACGAGTCTCGAAGTAAATACTTTGACTGAGTCACATGACTCAACAGTGAACACTCTTGAAATCGATTATGAATCACTGGCTGTAAGAACATTTGCCGTGCAACACATACAGCGTCACTGTTTACTTATACTTTTATATCGCGTTGTTTATCACTTATATCATTATTCAATCTTTGAAACATGGATTTTTGTTACATCACAAGCAATTAGAAATGAGAATAATGATGATTTCCCATTTTTTTCCTTCTAATTGACAGTAAATAATTTGATGGCGTAAAATGAATTGCAAACCACATTCAAATTTGACCATTT